AAAGAAAGAAAGAAAGAAAGAAAGAAAGAAAGAAAGAAAGAAAGAAAGAAAGAAAGATCTAGCTTTTGTTATCTTGGTCCTGTTATATCAGCTGAACTTGAATTCTAACTGATGCAGATGTTCAGTGTTTTCTTAAATTCACTTATCCAAGTAGACGTATATCCAAAAAATTTTTAAAACAATCATTATTCTTTTTTTCTGACAGTGTAGCCTCAGAAAAAGCACATACTTACCTACCTATAGCCTGTCTTCAAAAGAGACAGACTGTGTCTCTTGGGGTGGATACAGGAGGATGATACACTACTTTTATTCACTCTTACTTCTAATGCCTCTTCAATGGGAGGTCGGAGCAAAAAATAATTGACTGTTGTGCCTGTGTTTAGAGCGTCTCCTAAAGGCCCACGTGCTCAAGGCTTGCTTCTAGCGTATGGTGCGGTGGAATTAGAAAGCGATACACCCTCTTAGGAGGCAGGACTTATCAGAGAGTCATTAGGCCTTAGGGATACAGCCTTGAAGGAGATATTAGGATCCTTGCTTCCTCCTGCCTTTCTGTTTGTGTCAATGAAGAGTATGTCCCTCGGTGTGCACTGTCTGTCCTGCTATGCACTGCCTCACCATTGGCTCAGTGGCAAAAGGGACACACGATCATAGGTGGAAAACTTAGACACCATGAGGCAAAAAGAGTCTTTCCTCTTTTTAAGTTGATCTTGGATATATTGGCACAGTGACAGTAAGCTGTCTAGTTCATTAACATTTACTCTCAAGACCAAAGGGAAACTGGATCCACCAGCTGAGGACCAAGCCCTTCAACACACGAGCTTCTGGAGGGGGCAGCCTTCATATCCAATATCTAACCCTAAGTTCAAGTACATTTTAAAAAGGAAAAGAGCAGAGTACCCTTTACGGGAGTATAAAGGTTAAGTAACAATAAACCTTCTAACTGTTCCCGAAAGTCAAACTGGATTTCCTACAGAGGGGAACTCTGTTCTAACACAATGAGATAGCAAGCGGCATGCTGGAATAGAGAATCTGCTGCATTCAAAATATCCCCAGATCTAGAGAGAAGCGTGACATCATGCTAAAAGGCTCTAGTGGTGAATAGGCTTATCCATGTCCTGAGTGGCTTGGGTCTCTGAACCCTGACGAGGGGTAGCAGGGAAATGAAGAAAAGACAGATACTGTACAGATACATGTACAATGAAGCTGGAACCAGAGTGGAGCAGAGATTCTCCAACCACTGGCAACCTAGAACCTCAGGGCATTTACTATGCACAGTATGGGGGAGGGAGGCGGAGTTGGGAATTAGCTAGTCTCTGTAGGGCTCTCTGCAGGTGAACAGTCCCAGGCTGTAAACAGAGAAGAGGAAGCTGCAATCGCTGGTCAATGGTTCATAAGCACACATACCCAGACTTTGAGAGGAGCTTTGCCTGACCCAGATGGGTAATGGCTTTGCCAATTTATTGTGGGCCATTGGCATCTGAGCCATGGACATGCTTTGTTCATGTCAAAATACATATTCACTCAGGACTCCACTCGCTGAGGGCTTCCTCCACTCCCTACATAGGTTGCTCCCCAAAGTCTGAGATCAACGACTCTCTTATGATGCCGCGTACCACAGCGTCAACTCTTTGAACTGAAGACGGCCTCTAAGTTAAAACCACAAAGGCATGCCTGGTTTACGAGTTTTCTCAGATTCTTAGCTGGCCCTTGATAATTCAAAGAATTGGATCAAAAAATAGTTATACAAAATAAACATTTTTTTGGTTTCATGATGAACATAGAAGACAAAAGATTCTGGCAAAGAAAGCCAGTAGATTCATAACCACCATGTAGCATTTATCAGATGAACAAACCTCACTGTACTTTCTTACACAGAAAAGTATTGCAAACAAGGTCGAGTTGTCGTCCTTCAGTATATGATAACACTCATATCTTATTCTCCTATAGAATATGACGTCTTTCTTGAAATGAAAATATACAAATGATGGTTCACCAGCTGCATTAGTTTAAAGAACCAGAGCAGTCACATACATATATCATGGGTGAACAACTTTCTGAAAACAAGCTATATCATGTCTTAATAATCAGGATCAATAATGAGACAGACTAGTCAGACGCTACAGTATAGTAATATTTAATCTATCTGCCCCTTCACAGCGTATGTGGGAAAATCTATGTACGTATGGTACCAGAAGATTGCCTCCTTCTGGCTACCCAACCTAGTTACAGCTGCTTAGTCCTGAATTGCTTCAGCTGACTAGGCACAGTGTAGGGTCCACCAGATGGCTATCTTTCTACCTGTCTGGAATTTGGAAAAAAATCATATCTAGAAAGTGATATTTTAGAAGTAGGTGTAAAATTTAAACAATGAGGTAGTAGGACTGGGGCAGGAGAGGCTAAAGCAGCATGTTCATGAGTATTGGTTAACTGAGATCAAGCATGCCGACTCTGCTGGTTGGTGATAAGAGGCCAACACAGGGGATATACCATAGGCTAGTCAACTAGTCTCTTAGAAGATGAGAACAAGGTCTGGCCTGCTCATGACGGTTTCCCAGCATCGAGCATTGCTCCTGGTCAGTAATAGCCAAGTCCCCTGCCAGACATCACCTGAATACATAGTTAATGCATTAGCAGTGGATGGCTAGGGTGTGTCTTCTTTCTAAAAACTCCTTTACATGGCCATTCCTCCACAGAATCCCTTCTTCAATGGGTAGCCTATGCATGCCTCTTGGTCTGAGACTGGGAACAGTTCCCTTTTTTAGAGAAGACTGATCACCTTGATCCTTATAGTTAGTTCCAAAATTAACTCTATTTAATAGTGGGGTTGAGGAAGGGGAGGAAGATGGAGGAGAAAAAGAGGAAGGCAAGAAGGGAGATGGCAGTTGGAGGGTGATCAAATCTGAGAAGAGAATGTTAGAGAAACACTACCTCCACAACCTCCCTACAAAAAGGTTGAGAGTCCTTGTGAGGTAAAGGCTACAGAAGAGAAATAAGCAAATTATCTCATCAAGTGACTCTCTGAGTTTGAACAGTCCAAGTCTAGAAAATGCAAGAGCCTTGTAGGCAGAACTCTGTCAATTGTCCATTTGCATTGTGTTCTATGGAACAAACCACACATTCATTCTCCCATTTAATGAAAGAACATGAAATTCCCCCAGGAAACTTGTTTAGTAAAAAAAAATTACTCAAAGAAATAAGAAAATTCTTCTTCCTATCTCATAATTCACTTCTAATTCATTATTACTGAAATGCATCAATCATATCTTTCAGAAAATCTGCACAATTGTTTTTCCTTCCACCCATAAAAAGAATCACAGAATGTAATGTGATCTCAATAAAGTTGCATTCATAAAACACTACAATACCTTTGAGCAATGAATTCTTGCTAGGTCTGATTCACATCTAGTCAATTGTGCTAAAGTATGCTCATATGATGAGAACAGTGATGAGTAACCAATTCTTTGAACAAATATGGCTTTGTGCTTTTCAGAAGCAGGTATACACGAGACACATTTCCACCTTTGCAGACCATCAGGGACCACTAGCCTGCTCATCTGCATCTTGTATTTACAAGAGTCTATCTTAATAGATTGCTTGAACCGATTAAAGGCAGCACAAAACAATTATCGAGTGAAAGAGAAAAAGGAATAAGAAATGAAGTACTTACTTGGTCCTAGACCAATTGAAAAAGCAGCAACATACACAAGCAAGCTGGCCAAGGACAGCCATTTGTAAGCAGCTGGGACAACAGCAGGGTCTGTGACTACCTGGTGTTCAGTTTGGCTCAGTCCAGCATTTGGTAAAGATGTGAGGGTCATCTCCCCTTTCTGCTCCATGCCATGTCCCATAGGCATGAATGAGCCCCTGCTGTGTGGGGGGACTCCTTTAAAGTGCTCCCCAAGACTACTGTTGCCAGTTGACAGGTTCCCGGTTGCATAGAACACAGGCTCCTCCAGGGACTGGTTAAGAGGGCTATGGCTTCTGCAGATATTGGTGAAATTCATGTTGATGTTGAGATTCACAATACCCATGGTCAACAGTGAAGCAGCCATCACGGAGGAGCCAATGCAGAGGAAGGTTTTGCTACCAACGTGGTCCACAAGGAGGGTTGCTGGTATGGTGCTAACCACCTTGACCACTCCAACCCCAGTGGAGGCGAGGCTGGCTGCCTCATTGCTCTGGAAGCCAACGGACTTCAAGACGGTTGATGCATAGAACAGTATGTTTGGCTGGCCAGTGGTCTGTACAAAAAACACCAGCGTCAGACCTATCATGATTCGGGTCCTCATGTTGTCCTTGGAGCGAAACAGATCCCAGAAACTATACTGATACTCATCTTTCAAGGAAGACTTGATCAAAGTGAGTTCTTCGGTGGTGTCTGAGATCACTCTTAACTTCCCAAGGACTTTGCCGGCAGCATCCTCTTGCCCTTTCATCACCAGAAACCGAGGACTTGGCGGAAGAAAGTACATCGCGATTGCTTGCAAAAGCCCCAGGGGAATCACAAGACCAAACATATACTTCCAACCATTGAAGACATTGGCGAATGCATAGTTTGAAATGTAGGCAAAGAGGATACCGATGACAATCATCAGCTCATTCAGGGACACAAGGAGGCCTCTTCTGTGCTGGGGAGCAATCTCTGCAATGTACACACATGTGGCAATGGAAGACAAGGAAATGGACACCCCGATGGCAATGCGTCCCATAATAAGGACAGTGTAGGACAAGCTCATTATCAAGACCAAGCTTCCGAGTCCTAGGACGCACGACGAGAGGATAATGGTGAGCCTTCTCCCATACCTGTCTATCAGCACGCCTCCAGTGAGAGAGGCCAGGAACGCCCCAATGAGCAGGGAGCTCACGACCATTTCCTGCTCGTGGCAGGTCAGGGCTAACAGGGTTCTGATCTGAAGAAGGGCTCCAGAGATGAGCCCCAGTTCGTAACCCACCAGGAGGCCGCTGACGGCTGCAGTGACAGATGTCAGGAAGGTGAACATGCTGCAACCTGCAAGCGGAAAAAGGAAACCGTGAAATCAGTTCGGAGAGATCATTTCAAACATGCCCTATCCAAATGGACACTTACCTTTGGGTAAGACTTTCATAACGTTGACTTTAGACACACACACACACACACACACACACACACACACACACACATACAAAACCGTGGTAAACTAATGTGCCACGGTAAAATAATACACTGTCAAAGATAATTCACGACAGAATAAAAAATCATTTTTTTCTTTGTTGTTTAGGAGAGGAGTCACGAAGGTGTTTATGAAGTCTGGCTTCCTTCTGGCTAGGATGTTGGTGTTGTTTTCAGTCAAGAGTAAGTAGCTGTACAAGATAAGCAGCTGGCAGACGATAAGGACTGAACAAAATGGTTAGCTGCTAGAGTGTGCCTTTGGCATTGGATTAGATGTCCTGATAGCCTGGTTGTCCAAGCCCAACCCAGTTCTCTAGAGACAAACTTCTGAGGGCAGATAGATAGGGGAGAAGGGACCTCTAGAAGAAGGTGTGGGCTCCTGGCTATGTGGAGCCCACAGAAACCAGCCCCTGAGGCTCTTGCCTTCAACTCCTCAGCAGCCACCATCAGGCTTCACTGGGCCTTTGCCCGTGCTCACAGGAGTCACTGAACAAGGAGTAGAAGTGGGAGCAGGAGGCGTGTGCAAGCTTGAACAAAGTCAAGGCTGTGTTAGAAATAAGGAAGGGAAAAATGGATGCGGGGCAAGCAGCCTAAAATGCATGTTGCTCATGAGAGGAAGAAGGAAGGTGGAATGCAGCAGAGAGGAACAAAGGGGAATTGGAAGTTTTTTTAATGTAAAATCTTAGAGAAAAGGGGGAAAGTGAACAATTACTACTTTTCAGTAATGGGTATTCATATATACATATACAATCATCAGCTCATTCAGTAACACAATATACATATATATATGCATATAATAAATATACATGCATTCCCATTACTGAAAATAATATATATTAATATATATATATGAGTTTGCAGATATATAAGTATATGTGTCTGTGTGTGTGTGTGTGTGTGTGTGAGAGAGAGAGAGAGAGAGAGAGAGAGAGAGAGAGCATCTTGTAATGTGACAAAACCAAAACTGAACAAACAGGAAGTGGTGACAGGGATTATATATAGTGACAGTCATTTCTTGGACAGGACAGAGAAGCTCTTGTCATGTCTCAGGAACAGTAAGAAGAACAGCATGCAGGGTGTGTGGCCCATAAGCCTGCCAGTAGGGAAAGGCAGAGAGTTCAGATAGATACAGAGGAGGCTCCCTGAATAGGGTACATGTACCTGGGGGGATTTCATGGGGACACCTTTTACTGTGCTCCAAGGATAATGGGCTACACACCTCCAGAGTAAGTCAGAGTATGAGCACCACAGCTTTTTTGGTTTGGGAGGTGCTAATGCTTCATTCAGTAGGGAGACTAGACTTCCAAGCACCGAGGCTGGTCATTGGTCCCAAGGGCATCACAAACAAAAGATGTTGTCAGCTCAGACTTGAGTGCTCAGGTGGAACTGGAGACAAATAAACAAATACAAGACTTCCTGTCAAGGCAAACAAGTGCCCATGACTGCAGTTTCGCATGAGTTGGAGGTGAACTAAACTCCCAAGTGGTTGGTACCTCAAGTAGTGCTTTGGTTGAACAGTTAAGTAGATGCTTCTACAATAATCAATATACGTGTGCATGTTTCTATAGACTGCCTGGTGCAACAGAGCCCTCTAGTAAAGGTCAGGAACAGAACTGTTTGTGTGTAGTAACAAGAGACATGAACATCAGAAACTTCATTCTGGACTTACTAAAACGTTTTCTTTATTTCCCCTGTAAGATAAAAATGTCCGCTGGGCGGTGGTGGTGCACACCTTTAATCCCAGCAGTTGGGAGGCAAAGACAGGCAGAGTTCTGTGAGTTCAAGGCCAGCCTGGTCTACTTAGCAAGGGCTCCAGAGAGGAACCCTGCCTCAAACAAACAAACAAAAAAGCAAAATAAAACTAAGCAAACAAAATAACAACAACAAAAACCCTATTCAGCTCTCCTGAAATAAAGAGGTCAAATAAGGTGATCAAGTCATTTCACATCACAAACAGCCAAGTTATTCTCCACCACCAGGAATTTAGTGGCGTATGTGAAGCGAGTGAGCAATTAAAAATAAATAAGTTGAGGCTGGTGTTGTAAGCCAGTTGGCAGCATCCTTGCCTAACATGCTCAAAGCCCTTAGTTCAGTCCCCAGCAATGCATAAAAACTGAGTTTGGTGCACATGCCTATAAGCCTAGTACTCTGGAGATGCAGGAAAGATGAACATAAATTCAAGGTCATCCTTGGCTACATAGAGAATTCAAAGTCTGCCTGGGCTACAAAAGATGTCAAGGAAGGAAGGAAGAAGGAAAGAAGCAAGCCACAAATAGTAAGATAAATGAGAGAATAATTAAATAATCCACATCAAATAAAGCTAACTTATATGGATTAAACCATTAAGTTAAAGCTGAGTCAGTAATTCACCTAGTCAGAAAATAGCTATGAAGCACCATTATATAGTAGGTGCTTTTCTAGGTGCCAAAATACAAATACACACATACACATAAACACACACACACAGAGTGAAATAAAATACACATGGTCTTGGCCTTCAAGAAATTTAATCACTTGGTAACATTTCTCTTATTTATTATCTTTGCTTTGTTTTAGTATATATGAAATGACTTAGTTGCTTACAGATTCATTCATGTCCTCAGTTTCCCCAGATGGCCTTAAAACATTCCCATCAGCAAACTCCTCCACTGCAAAGAAAATCAGATGAAATCCTCACAACTGGGTAAGAACTGTGTATTCTTTGTGTGTGTGTGTGTGTGTGTGTGTAATGAAGTGTGCTATGTGCAAATGTTAAAAACAGAGGACCACTTTGGGGGGGTCAGTTCCCTCCTTCCATCTTGAGATACGGGGCTCAGACTCAGGCATCCGCTTTGTGTGACAAGCGCTTTTACCTGCTGAGCTATCTTGCCAACCCAAGGACACTATATTAGCCGGACTTTCTTTAGCTGCTACTTATTTTATCTTTGCTTGCTGTACAGACTTGTGTGTGCATGTGTCTGTCAACTGGTAACTAGCCTTCGTTGTACTGATCGATGTGGCAGGTAACTCTTGAGCATAAAACCTTGGAGGCAGACCGGGTGAGGCAGCAAAGAGGGTGTTCACAGTGATGGGGTAGCGAGGGACAAGTTAAGCATGTAGCAGAACTGCCAGCTGAAACAGCTTAGGGAACAAACTGTCCCTGCCATCTTGCCCTTCCTTGCTTTCCCATTTGGTAGATGTGAGAGTGTTTTTCTACAAAGGGGACTTGTGGTGATTGGAGGGCCCCCTCCTTAGATGCTCTACTGTTCTGCCCTGGAGAGATCTGCAGGGGTGGATAGGGTGGTAGCTTTGTGTGGTCTGGTCTAGGAAGATCCACTCCTTACAAAAGAGGGGCCCGGCTCCTGCTGCTGCTTTCTGGACTTAGATAATTTGCCTCTTTCCTTAGACAGGGCACAAAACACTGAGAAACAGGGATGTGCCTGGAAGTCATCCCAGTTTGTCAATGGCCTTGCGCCCTGGAGCACTGACTATAATTGTTCGGTGATAATTATATCACCGAAATGATAGCATTTCTCTAGGAAATCATTGAAACATTTTACTTTAACCTGTGTACACCACAGCATACTATTCTCTCATTAGCTGTCCTTCTATTTTATCTATCCCTGGACAATTAGCCATTAAAAGGATAAGACCTTGCAGTAGACTATTCGATGACCTTCGCTCCGTGGGGAGATCTGACCAACAGTGGTAGGAATTAGGGACTTAGCTGTTACAAACCTGATTTGTCCCCATTGTGTCATTCAAGAAGCCCTATCCCAAACTATTATCCTCACCTTACTGCTGGGACTTATGACAACAGAAGTTCCCATTCACCCTGAGGCTGTCCCATTGGGTTTTGACTTCTAGTTCAGTGTACAATGCTTCCAAGATGGCCACCGGTGACTCCTGAAGACTTCCAACAGAGCACATTTCCTGGTACTGCTTTCTCACAAAAAAGTCACAAAAGAGAGACACAGCATGGCCTTTTCTTGGACCTATCGTTGGTTAATGATGACAGGAACAAAATGCCATCCTATAGAAAGTAGGAAGTAGACATAACTTTTCTAAGAAAACTGACCATGAACAGAATAAAAGTGGATGTAGTCTGAGGTGATGGAAGAAGACAAAGTTTGGGTTTGTCACAACACAGATGGAAGAGTTTGGGGCAGCTGGGTGGTTTGAGAGACAGCCATGGCTAGAGCAGAGAAGAAGAACACCCAAAATTAATGTAAAACAAAACCTCAACAACAAAAGCCACTCCTTGATGCCAAGTTAAAAGCTTCATCCAGCATCCCAAAGCATTTTGTCATGGCCCTGCTTCCAGATGCCCCCCTTTCCACATTGCTGTTCTCCATAAACTCTCCTACAGGGGAGTCTCAGCTTCCTAAGCTGAGGCAAGAAGAGGGTGGACAACTCATGGCAGACACGGAGACCATCAGGAACCCACAGGCTGTTGGGTTCTGCTTGTCCCTGTGTCTTCTGGCTACCTTGTCGGAAGGCCCACACCCGTACCAGAAAAAAATCCTGGTGCCTTTTGATTGAGTGAGGACCCCTTCCCAAGGTGATATGAAGACGCGGTCACCATCGAGAGGCCATGTGTAAAAGGGCTCCAAGTCCCACGGGAGCACACAGAGCCAGTTGACAGGTAGCACTGGGCAGGGGACAGCAGCGCTGGCTACCACAACAATAGCCGCCCTGTGTCTGCTAGCTAGCGGTGAGTCACATGAAACCATGACTGTAGGCCACACTCAACGCAAGATGCTCCATTTTCCACCATATTTGAATTTCTGCCTGCTTTCTCCTTCTCTTTCTCCCCCAGATGCCAGTCCGGGCGTACGTACATAATGGGCACACAATAGATACTTGCCGCCTCACTAAAT